AACGCTGCGTCTCCCTTGAACTGCTAAGTGGAGGAAGGCTCTCCAAAGCGTATTGCTAAGAAGAAAAAGGATATTGCAGAACGAGACGTAGGGTATTGTTCCATTTGTTTAAAATCAACACCCTGTCCAAGCCTCTTCATTCTTTCAAGTAGGATTATGTATGTATGCAGGATTATTGCAAAATCAAAGATGCAGCAGACGGTGCAGGTGCTGATGTCTGGGGTGAAGCCTGAGAGTCTGCATTTTGAGACCACCTTGTGCGTAGTCCCAGTGCTGCAGCTCTGTCTGGTGGAGCTTTCATCAGTGATGGAAATGGTCCATATCTGCATTGCCTGGTGTATTAGCCACTAGGCACCTGTTGCTACTGGCTAGTGCGACTGAGGAACTGACTTTTGAAGTTTATTTAGTTTTCCCTATTTTAAATTTAAATAGGCCCACGTGGGCTCGTGGCTACCATAGGAGACAGTGCAGTTCTCAGCTGTAAACTTCCCAGGGGCCGGGATTCTGTCTCATTTGTCTGTGTACCCTCTTCAGGATTTGCACGTTGTGGGAACAATGATGATGCCGATAACACTTCCTTATATTACACCCAGGTTGTGTTTTAGGGACTCCTTTCGTGTCTAGGATCTTCTCGAAGCTTTCCGACGGTCCTATTATTGCCTTCGTGGAGTCAGTATTTACTGAGTGCTTGCTTCGGGCCAGGCACTGTCGCACGTGCCTTCCAAGTGCTAACTCATCCGGGCCTTGGAACAACCCCCGGATTAGCCCCACTCTGCAGATGATGACATTGAGGCACAGACCCATCAGTCCCCTCCTTACGTCACTCAGCTAGACGGTGACAAAGCTGGGCTAGGAGCCTAGGATCTAGTCTGGCTCAGGTCAGGTCACCCACATTTAACCTGATGCTTTATTGCCTCAGAATGCACCTCCTCCTCCACACGGGGTCCCTTTGTAACAGGTGGAACAGTGGAACTTAGATTTTTCCCAAAGGCATGACCTGAAGACCAGTGCCCTGCTCCCACGGTTTATGTATGTTGATTGCTGGCGACAAGAAGACTGTCTCTGAGCACTCCTGTCCCAAGCCAGGTCCCACCATCACACTGGCCCTCTGTCCTGTGCTCGGGCCCTGTTACATCCAGCACCCCACTGGTCGCCATCACAGGACCTTAGGCAGCATCTCCTTTCAACAAGGGAGAGCAGAATGGGTGATGGAAGAGCATGGGCGGGCAGGGAGGGGACAGAAAGAAGGAGCGGAGGACAGGCGGGACTCACCAATGGCTAACATTTATGGAGCACCTGTGATGGTCAAGGCCATGCTGAGTGTGCTTTCTACGCATTCAGCCACATTCTTCCACCAGCTTGTGCAGAGCGCCCGCTGTTCCTGGAACGATCCCCAGGGCAGCGGGCACAAGAGTGAGAGGATTCAGCCCGTGCTGCTGAGAGGTTTATAGACACACCATCTGGAACCGTGGAGGATGTGGAGATGTCGCGGAGAGGACTTTGGGTTCGAGGCTGAACTCTGCTCCTTGTTTGCTCTGGGACATGAAGCAAGTTGCCTAACAGCTCCCAGCTTTGATTTTGTCTCTAACGTGGGGTTAATACAGCACCTACTGTTGGCTTCTTGGGAAATTATAGGACACGATACATCACAAACGTTCGGGACAGTGCCTGGCACGGAGCAAGCTCTCGGGAAACGTCAGTGTCTGTGGCCTGGGTGTTGGTGCTATCTGTCACAACAAGGGGACCACTGGCACCGAGAACCCCATTACAAGCACCAGAGTTAGTTTCCAAATACTTAACAAGCCTCTATTATGTGCAATACCCCCAACGAAGCAGACAGGAGGATCATGATAAAGAGGAATAAGTGCATGACTTTCCGAAACGTGGTCTAGAGCAGACTCAAAGGGTTTGGAGGTTGAATGGAGTTCTCTTGGGTCATGGGCCTCTAAGAGGACTATCACGGAAGAGGAGGCATGTGAGCTGGCCTTGAAGGGTAGGTAGAAGATGAGTACCGAACTCCCTAAGTAGAACTGGTGGGCGTTCTGGGTGGAGGAGGCGCAAGGAGCCGCAGTGAGGACCGGAGAAGTCCGAGGTGAGCAAGTATTCCAGTTAGCTCGGGGTTCAGGGGGGTTTGTTGGCAAACGTGGAAGACAAGGATGAAGAAGAGGGTTCAAGTCAGACCGTAGAAGACTCTGATGCCAGGCTGTCGAGTCTATATGTAATTTTTGTGGTCAGTGAGGGGCACCTGGAGGTACTTTTCCTCCACAATTTTCATTTCTATTTACTTGAAATCTGACACACATTCTGCATTTAATATGTAAAGTAGGGGTCCAAGAATAGCCAAGAAACTCTTGAAGAAGGACAAAGTGGGCGAAACAGCCCACAAAATGTTAAGATATCAGAATTTTGTGAGAGTTAGAGCAGTGTGGTGGGAGTGCAGAGTTAGAAAAATTGACCAGTGGGACAGAGCAGAAAGCTATGAACCTGCCCCCAAAATATGCGAACATGATGCACAAGGGAGTTGGTATTACAATTGTTTTATCACCTATGTATGTGAGGTATTTAAAAGATGTAAAACACATTTTTAACTTTTAAAATAATGTTTCAGTTTTTTGTTTTAAAGATTTTATTTATTTATTTGACAGAGAGAGAGAGATAGCGAGAGCAGGAACACAAGCAGGGGGAGTGGGAGAGTGAGAAGCAGGCTTCCTGCCGAGCAGGGAGCCCGATGTGGGACTTGATCCCAGGACCCTGGGATCTTGACCTGAGCCGAAGGCAGACACTTAACGACTGAGCCACCCAGGTGCCCAATAATGTTTCAGTTTTAGAATAGATTTCCAGAGCAAAAATAGTAGAGAGTTCCATACACCTCAAACCCAGTCCCCCTATTAGCATCTTTAATTAGTATGGTGTACTTGTAACAATTAATGAATCGATATTGATACATTGTAATTGACTGAACTCCATACTTTATTCAGATTTCCTTAGTTTTGATCTAGTATCCTTTTTCTAGGCCAGGATGTCTCTGGGCTGTGACAGTGTCTCAGACTTTCCCTGTTTTTGATGACCTTGACATTTTTTGATGACCTTGACATTTTTTGATGACCTTGACATTTTTGAGGGGTACTGGTCATGTATTTTGTAGACTGTCCCTCCACTGGAATTCTTCTCTTGATTAGATGATGACGGGGTTACAACCACTCCCCCGTCCATACTTTACTCTTGGAAGGAAGTCACTTTTGGGCAGCCTACACGTAAGGAGTAGAAAGTTATGCTCTACTTCCTTGAGGGCAGAATACCTACATAAATTTTTAAAATTATTCTGCACAGATTTATTTTCCTCCATACATGAGTCAGTATGGACTCATGAATATTTATATTTTTTTACTTTGGGTTATAATCCAGTACTACCGTACTTACGTTGTTACTCAGCTCGTTTCCCAGCTTTGGATATTAGGAACACTTTCAGGTGGTTTCTGTATCCCTTTGATGTACCCCCATCATTGTGGGTGTGTGTATGCTCATGCTTTCTTACTTTTTTAACATTTTATTTATTCATTTGAGAGAGGGAGAGAGTGAGAGAGCACAATCAGGGGGAGTGGCTGAGGGAGAGGGAGAAGCAAAATCCCCGCTGAGCTGGGAGCCCAATGCGGGACTCGAGCCCAGGACATTGGGATCATGACCTGAGCCGAAGGCAGACGCTCAACTGACTTAGCCACCCAGGTGCCCCTCTTACTTTCTGGCACTACCGGATGGCTCCAGTCTCACCTTGTATATTACCTGCCACAAACCTAAACTCAGCCATTTCTTTGAGGAGCCCTGGTTCCTTTCATTGCCCAGCGACATGAGAAACAAACCATGGATCTAATGCTCATTGCTGCTGGGGTGTCATTGTTTCTACATCCTCTTAGCAGAGGGAGCAGGGAGGTCTGTGTGGATAGGAACCCGTGTACACATATGTGTAAATATCCTCCAGGACTCTGAGATGATAAACGTCTGTCACTCTAAGCCACCCCGTTTGTACAGCTGCCGTAGGAAATTGATCCAAGACCCTTCCCCTCCTCCCCAGTGAGTCCCCCCTTCCTTCTTTTATACCCTCATGGTTTCTCCCACACAGCCAGCTGTCTGCCTGCCTTTGTTGTTTTGTGTTTTGTGTGTCTCTTTGTTTGGCTACTTCCTACCCATTCCTTCCAGACTCTTCTCAGACACCAGCCCTCTGGACGCCTTGGCTGATGCCCCCAGGAACCGTTAGGTGCCCTGGTCCACACAGTTACTGCAACGTCACTGCCTCCTCTCACTTGACTGTGGGCTCCTTGAGGGAGGACTCCTGCCTTTGCCAGTGTGTGCAGGTGCTCAGGTGTTGGAGGCACGGGGAGGCAGCTGCAGAAACTGAAGCCTGATTAAGCGAGTGGCAGCTCCAGAATTTTAATCTGGGCCGGAGGGGGGGCGGGTCCCAGGATGGAATTTGGTTTTCAGAGGTGGAGCCTCGAAACCACATTTGCTTAGCACTTAACAAAGGTAAGGAAATTACAGTTCATGTTAGAGATGGGGAGATCAGGCCCCCCTGTGCCGGCGGGCCAGCAATGAGTGTGCTCACCTCCCTCTACAACCCCGTGGAAGCAAACTGTAATATCCTGTGTGTCCGATGAAGAAGCCGAGGTATACATCGTAACTCCTCGTTGGCAGGCTGGGACTGCGACCTAGCTGGCTTCGTCTGACTCCAGCAGGGCTACCAGGTCTTGTCATCCTGGGCGGCATTTAGCCAAGACCTAACGAGGTTGACAGCGAGGCCCGCAAGGGAGCGCGGCTGTTTCGGGCGGACCCCAACCTTTCCTACAGCTGTTCTGCATTTGCCGTGACTAGGTGGAAGGAACTACACCTCCCAGGAAGCAGTGCGGCCCCCTGGCTGCCCCTCCCACGCCCCGCCCACACCGCCCCGCCCCTCCTCGGGCCGGCTAGTATATAAGGGCCGCATGGCCCGCCGCCGCAGAGCGCGGAGGCAGTGCGGGCGCGCGGCGCACGGCTGCGCCCGGGAGGAAGCGGCCAGCGCAGTGGGCGCCCGCGGCTCCGCGCTCCTCCCCCCGCCACTCCTGCCCCGCGGCGCCCACCCTACGGCGCCCGGGCCCCGCGGACCTGAGACCCTGAGGCCGAGAGCGGAACTGCCCTGGGCGCTTTCCCGGGCTTGGCGGAGAGGAGCCCGGCGGGGCTCTCAGGGCTCGCGCTGGCAGTGCGCAGCGAGGAAAGGAGAGCTGCGTTCGGCTGGGTGCCCTCGGAGCGCCGGGAGGCGGGGTGCGCTCGCCCCCAGGCTGGGGGGGGGGTGCTGCCAACTGAGAAGCCCCGCGGCGAGGTGCTGTCATCTCCGCGGGGCCTGAGCACAGAGCCCGGGGCTGCCGGCGCTTTGGCCTTGGACGGAAAGTGGGGAAGGGCTCCGGACCCCCTAACATGGATTACTTGGTGTGTGTCAGCCGGGCTCCGAAGACCCACGACCGCGTCTCCATCCTTGGATTGACTGATTCTACCTAGCAGTCGGGTCGCTGACCTGGAGGTACGTTTCCCTGCGGGATTCGAGGGAGGGGGTGTGAGTTGACTCGTCTCCCCTCCCGCGCCCCCCACCCCATCCTCCCCCGCGACGCCTTTCTGAAGGTCTCGGGTTTGGATCGAATTTTTCGCTCTCGTGTTGACATCTCCGCAGAGGTCAGTTGGCCATCCCTGTGCCTCCGGGCGGAGCCAGTTTGGCCCGGCTCGCGGGGGTCAGCGTTCCTCCGGGCGTTCCGGGTCCGCGCCGTCCGGCTGCCCCGCGGGGCAGACCCCTCGCGGGGGGAAAGGCCGCTCGCCCCTACCGTTGCCCTCGTGGCCCTCCGGGGCCCGTTACTTCGGGAGCGGTGCCGCCTCGGCGAGCTCCCGGCCTCTGCTCACGGGCGACCCAGAATGCGGCTGGGCCGCCGCGCCTCTCGCCGTGGGGGCTGGGGCTTTTCTGGATGTCCCTGTCGCCGGGCCTAGGGTGAGCAGCTGCACCGCAGGGCCACCGGTCAGGCGGACGCCGGGGTGGTGTGGACAGGGCTTTCTGAAGGGGTGGAGATGGACGGATTTCGGTCCACTGCGTCCACGCGCGCCTCTACCCGGTACCCCCGCCCCCGCCCCCAGCGCCGTCTGTTAATGGAAGGGGTTCAGGGCCAGCGTGGGGAGGGGGCTTAGTCTTGAGTCCTGAACAAAAAAGCAGACCGCTTCTGTACCCGTAGCTCTGTCCTCTCCTTGTCCTTTGGCGTCCGTGCCTGTCACTGAGTCTGCGCCGATTAGATGTTTGTTGAATGAATGACTGAGCGAGTACGGTCTTGATGTACAGATAAACCGGGGTCCTCCTTTATCTTCTCCCTCCTTGCCGCTTGTCCTCGACTCCAGGACTCCCCCCGCACCTCCCCGAAGATGGCTTCCTGGAGATGCTTTCCCCAGATGTGGGATTCCCTTCTCTCCCCACAACCCTATGGTGATGATCCATTTCCTGCCCAGAAGTCCCTCCTGCACAGACAACTTCTGGTCGCTGTCAGGGGTCTCCCTGGGGATGTTCTCAGAGCGCCATGCCTCCAGTGAGCACCTGCTTGGGGAAGCGGGGAAGGTCAGGCGCCACAGGAGGAGAAAAGGTGGTGTGTGTTGGTACTGTACCCTCCCCCCAGGAGCCTGTTCCTCTGGCCACACCCAGGTCCCTGGAAGTGCTCAGGTGGGCCCTTTCCCACCCTTTTCCCCTGCCAGCCCCCCCCCCCAGACGGACTCTTAAACTGTCCCACGATTGACCTGCAGCTCCACCTCTGCATCTCACTTGATTTTAAAAGTAATTCATGCTCGCTCTCTTCTTTAGAAAAGCACAAAAAAGTGGAAAAAGCAGGAAGAAATAACCCAGTCCCGAGTAGTGCCGACTATTTGATGCATTTCCTCACTGCTGAAACCCTGCAATGTCTACAACTTTGGGTACTGCTTTTTTCCTTTCGATTTTACTTGAACAGTCCCCAAATAATGATCGTATTCCTCTGCCCGCATCAAATCCTAATCTGACAGTTGCCCTCTTGTTGGACACTAAGGTATTTCTGTATTTTTACCCTGAGAAGTAGTGCATTGGTGAGCATCTTTTGTACATAAAGATTTGTCCACTTTTTGGATTATTTGCTTTGGAGAATTCCCAGAAATCACTCTCTTTGCTTTAAGTCAGAGTCACGTCTGGAGTGAGAGGAAGGCCCCTCTGGCTGGATATTTCCGAGGTGGGCCTACAGGAAGAGAGCCCCACGTATCCATCACTTACTACCACGGCTAGGAGCCAGAATATGGTAGGCGCTGGGAAGACACTTGCTGAGTAAATGCAGTGTTGTGTTCATTTCGGTTTTCCTGAAGCCAGTATTGGTATGAGAATCACTTAAAGTTTGCATCCAGGTCTACGATGTAAATTATTTTAGCAAGGCCTCAGGGGAGATTTAGTAGGCAGCTGGATTAAAAATGCTGTCCTTTTTTTTTTTTTTTTTTTTTTTTAAAGAGAATTCACTTTTGATTTTGATAGAAATCTAGATTTACAGGAAAGTCACAAAAATAATACATGGAGTTCCCCTATACCCTTCACCCAGCTTCCCTAAATGTTAACATCTTACTAGCCACAGCGTGGTGGTCAAAGCCAGGGGATTAACATTAACAGAATACTTGGAACTAATCTTCGGGCCTTATTCACATTTCTCCAGTTGTCCCATTAATATCCTTTTTCTGGTCCAGGATCCAATTCACAACCTTGCATTGCAGAAAATTCTGTCTTCTAAAAAAAGTGGAAGTTGAGAGGGATTCAGAAGATGCTCTTCTTTTTTTTTTTTAAACCACCTTATTGAGGTGTGACTGATGTACCCAAAGCTGGACAGATGTAATGTATAGAACTTGATGAGCTTGGTAATGAGTGGACGCCGTGAGACCTTTACCACAGCCTAGGCCATAAACAGGCATTGCCTCCAAAAGTTTCCTCCCTCCCTCTTTATCATCATTATTATTTTGTTGATAAGAACACTTACCAGAAGATCTTCCCTCTTAGCAAATGTTTAAGTATACAGTGCAGTATTGTTAGCTATGGACGCTGAGCCCTATGGGAGAACACTAGGCCTTATTCATCGCAGCAGAGTGTCTTTATTCTGGAGAAGATTTTAAATCGAGCCTTCCTCCACCACTTTCTTCCCCAGGTTAACTCGCCCCTCGTCCCTCCTTATTTAGGGCCGGCAGCGCAGCTGAGACCCATCAGGGCCCGGAGGGGAGAGGAGCCCGGACTGGGAACGGCAGGAGCTTCTCTGTGTCCCCCTCCTTCCTTCCCCTGACACCTCCACGGGGAGTGAGTCGTTTAGTAAAAATGGGGTTATAGCTTGATCTGTCCTGACACGTCTTCCAAGGGGTAGGTGGATGGATGACATCCGGTGTGCGTGAGAGCGAGCCGCTCTCGAGCCGCGATCGAATCCACTGCTGGCAAGTCCACTGCCGTGCAATACCTGTGCGCGTGACTCACGGCGGCCTGAGTAGCAGGTGTGCTGGGCGGCTAAGCGTGCAGACCCAGCAGAGAGTGTGTTTCCTGGTTATCTTGGCACATTTAAAGGAACAAAGGGTTCTGCTCTTCCCTTGGACTGGGTTTTGGGTATTGTCAAGCCATTAAGGGCAGGAAGTGATCCCCCTTCTCTTTAGGGGACTTCTTTCTCCCGAGAGGGGTGAGGAGAGCCAGCCCGAGGGGGTTTTGGAAGCGGGGCCGGCTGCCGAGGATGGAGGCTGGCCCCAGGGACTTTGCATAAGAGAACGCCCGAGTTCACCGTGGAGGAAGCCCATGATGGAGGCCCTTCTGCCCCTATAGCAGAGGCCACGTTAGCCTAAATCGCCTGCCAACAGCACACACTCGAATTAGGGCCCTCTCAGCTTGGGGTGGCTGCCCACACAGAGCGGAGGGAATGTTTGTTTGCGATCAGGGAGTTTAGAGTTACCTGAATCTCAACATAACAGACTTCGCTTGTCCAGATAGAGTTTCGGTGGGGTGTGGTGAGGGCACGGTCGCCTAGAGTCAATTTTTCTTTTCCTCTTTGTGGCACTTGCAGCCTTCCTATCATCTCTCGTGAGCTGGAGCTACTCGTCCTCTCTCCCTCCCGCTCTCTCCGTGCACCGGCCCAGACGTTTCTCTGCCACCAGGCAGCTCCAGTGAGGAGCCTAACAAGAAGTCTTGGTGGGAGCCGGGTTGGGGATGTTGTGACTGGTTCTGGAACACCTTCTTGTGTCTACACCTGCCTAGTCCCTCTCCTCAGTGACTCCTCATGGGCCCCCCCTTCTCAGGAGCCTCTGCTCTTCCCGGCTCAGACTCTTCACTTTGAGCTGCCCCACCAGTCCCTCAAGTTGTGGTTTGCACAAGAACGGATTGCTTGGGGAACTCGTTAAAAATGAATCCTCTCAGCAGCCATCTTGCCCTTCCACCCCCTCCTTATGTATGAGAGCAGGGGGCTGCTCAGAGGCCTGCATTTTTAACAGACTCCCCAGGCCATTCCAGTACAGATGGACACTTTAAGAATCAGGGATTGGACTGACTTCTTGGCCAGCAAAAGCGTGAACTGAGACTTTTCCCCACTGAAGCTGCTTTCTTTTTGCTCCTCCAGGAAGCCTTCCAGCCTTACCTCCACCTGGTCTGGGCCCCCCATGTGCACTTACTTGGTTTGTTGGTACATGTTTTGAAATCAAAGGCTTGCAATCAGGTATCCGTTGTGTTTGGTGAGGATAGAAATGGCTGTGTTTGGGTGAATGATAAAGGATCAGCAGTGTGGGCTTTGGGAATAGATGAGATCTGCAGGCTCTCCCCTCCATGGGTTTGTGAGTTCCCCGGGAGCTGGAAGAAGATGCCCCGTACTGGTACTTTTGTTTGTTGTGCCCACGCAGACTACTGCTACTTCTGTTTCTGGACATTGGAGCCGGTTGGGGTCCTCCACGGCGGGGTAGCACCCCCTTCTTCACATGGGAGATGCACCCAGCTCACTTTATAGGAGGAAGAGAATGGTCCTGGATGAATGTGCTCGCTTTGATCCATGCCATCGGCTAAAGATGCCCCGTACAAAATCGCACGCTTTGCAGACTAGGTTTGTGCCTGGAAAGTCTTTACAAAACCAAACCAATCTCCGTTGATCACATGACGTGCAAAAGGCCTGGAGGAAGCATCCGAGCGAGCGAGCGAGCGAGCAAGCGAGTGAGCAAGCGAGTGAGCAAGCGAGCGGAGGAATGCTGAAAAGGCTAGTTTCTGTCGAAGCATTCTTTTTGTGATGTGAATCATCGCCTCCTCCCGCATTTGGTTTGTTGGTACAGGTTTTCACATAGAAGTCTTGAAACCAGGTGCTTTTTGGGAGTTGGTTAAGACAGCAGTGGCTGCATGGGGACGGATGATCAAGTCCTGGGTCTCCAGAAATGAGTCAGACCTTCAGTCTCTCCCCTCGGGTCTGTGAGCCCCCCGAGCTCCCATCGTCGTTTGGAAAATGCCCCTTACAAGGGTCTGGTTGTAGTGATTTTCGGACC